TATGCGTTTAGTACTCAAACTATCGGTGTTGATCCGTTTTAGTACCTAAACTTTTTTTTCTTCAAAATCATAACTAAAGTTTTAGTATCCCGTCTTAAAAATTCACTTTTTGTTTTATTTTAGTGTCCCGTTCAAAATTTAATGTTAAGTTTTTTAAAAAAAATGAAAGTTTATGTATTGATATAGACAAAAACTGATAATTTAGGTGCTAATCGAGTTAAGTTCCTAACAACGAGATACTAAAATGAAATAAAAACTAAAAGTTGAGTATTTTATTAAAAAAATTAAAACTTTAAATTCTAAGAGCGACCAAAAATGATAATTTAGATACTAATGCTAAGTTTACCCTAAATGATAACCATTAAAAAGAGAAGGGATCGGGTCCATAATAAAATATAGGCCGGCTCAAACCCAGCTGTTTCTTGTGCATCTAAAAAGTGGAATTGAAAGTGAAATGGGAAACTGACAAATGGCCCATTAACTCATTTGACTAATTTTATTTAATAAAAAAAGAGCAAGAGATAATTGTACGGGATGTCCTCAAATTATTACCTTTATTCCAAATTGGTCCCTAACTTTTAAATATTGTATGTTAGTCCTCAAATTATGACCCCATTCTAAATTGATCATCTACTTGAAAACGTTTTATATCAATACTCAAACTAATATTATCATTTTATTTTGATCTTCTCGTTAACACGTCATTAACTCTATTGGTTAAAGAAATCAATTTGTTTTTGAAAGTATTGAGACTGAATCAGTGGCCTTTTAAAAAAAATTAAACCTTCAAAAATAGATTAGTTTTTTTAGAACGTCACATGTTCAATAATTAGGATCTTCAAAAAATATTATTTTTTTAGAAAAAAAAAATGAGTTCAACTCTCAGTACCTTCAAAAACTAGTTTTAACAACACATTAACATGTGAATCAAAATAAAATAATATTGGTAGCTTAGTACCTCCTATATAATTAACTCATAAAACAATGGAGGTTTCACGGAGACAATAAATTTATTGTGTTGGACTATTTTACATGCATTAATTGCATTCTAACTCCCCCCACATAATTCTACCCCAAAACATATTAAATAAAATAAAGGCTTAATATACTCTTAGTTGCCTAAACTATACCTCAAATTTACTTTTGGTACTTAAACAATTTTTTTTTGAAAAATAGGTACCTAACATTTTTTTTTCATTATATCTTTTGACTTTTAAGGCTTAATATACTTTTAGGTGTATAAAGATTTTATTGCAAAAAATAGGTGCTTAATGTTTCTAACTTTACATTTTTAGGTGTATGGACCATAACGTTGGCTCTTATTCGACACGTGTCACGCATATGATTTTTTAATTTTTTTTAAAATGTAATATTATAATTAAAAAATCAAAATTTCACTATTGGTCTATGGCCGTCACCGTTGACACCATCAGAACCATCTCACGTCGCGACCAAAACCCAGTCCACCACCCACCGTAAAATTGTACCGATCATTGTGAAAAACACCATGAAGGGTCGTTGATTTTCTAAGTTTTCCTTTGTTGTTTTCTGACGATTTCGATGGTTACAGTTGATCTTACGTTACACTGTTGCCGCCATTGAGTTCTTCACCGTGCTCTGAAAAAAACCCAGCCGATGGTGACCTTTCGTCGTCATCGAAGGTGGGGGATTGATAGGAGAGCGACGATGCGAGGAATGGTTTGATTCTTTTCATTTCTAAAATAATATTTTTATTATTTAAAATAGAAAAAATAAAAAATATAACGACAAGCATAAAAATATAACATAGAAAACGTTAAACACTTATTTTTAATAAAAAATTCTTTAGACATAAAAAGTCAATTTAAGATATAGTTTAGACACCTAAAATACTATCTTTTTTAAATAACTTTTTTTTGAGATTTTATATGCGTGACTTGACATGTGTCGGATAACATCCAAATTCAACGGTTGTTACGACGTAGGCACTAAAATTTTAATGTTAGAATCGTCAGACACCTATTTTTAAAAAAACTATTTATATACTAAAAATCAATACAATGTATTAAGGCTAGAACAAATAATATCGGAACACCCCACTCGTCTTAACGAACAGGTAATGTTATGAATTCAAGCTTAAGGTATTAATTATTAACCAAAAATAAATATAATATTTTTTGGCTCCATCTTATTTGTTTTTCAGAAAGAGAGAATATTTATTGTATGTGTACACGCCCCACACGTCTTCACATCTTCCAAGCTTTAATTATTAATCATTAAGCATAAAATATCACTTCCATTGACTTCTAAATCACATCATAATTTTCCATTTTCAGTTCGGTGAGAAAAAAACTCATATGCAAATAAGTATTTAAAGTATATTTTATTTTTATTTAAGTATGTAAATTAAATTTTTATTAAAATAAACATATACAATTATTCTTTTAGTTAAAATAGATACCTAAAGTATTTTATGTCAAAATAAGTACCTAAATTATTTATACTTTTTATTTAAATTTTAAAAAAGTTGAAATGTGACATTAATTAAAAATAATTTAGGTATTTGGATGAAAAATTGAATACTCTAAGTACTTATTTTGGCCAAAAAAATATTTTAGATACTTATATTGATAAAAAGATAACTTTATGTATTTATTTTGATTAAAAAATATTTTAAATACTTAAATAAAAAATATATATACTTTAAGTACTTCTTCGTTATATAAGCCATAAAATAAACCATTATCGATTTTTTACTCAAGTTTTTTAATGGAAAATGGATAGTTATGCTTGAAAAAAAAACGTGCCTGGAAAACAACGAGCAAAGTTATTTTATCCTTTTTATTTGGGATTAATATTAAGCATAAGTCTATAAATTATACCCAAAATTAATTTTTATTGTTTAAATTTTTTTTATATAAAATATGTGTTAAATATTTTTTGTTATATTTTTATGTATCTACTGGTAAAAGAAAACCGTTAAGTGATACATATCACATTTATAATATTTTATTTTTAAAATAAATAAAATATTATTTAAAAATATATTTTTAAGAAAACTGAATGTGACACGCGCCGTTTAACGATTTTTTTAAAATAATATATATCTAAAAGTATAATAAAAAACATTAGATGTCTATTTTTAATAAAAAAAATTAAGCACTAAAATTTATTTATGAATATAATTTAGATATTTATTTTATATTAATGCTCTTATTTAATCAAAAAAATTTATATTAATGAAGAAGACTTTCACATTGCTCGTCCGCCCTTTGGTGACTGACTTGGACAAAGTGGTGAAACGCGTGATGGTCACGTGGCAAAGATAGTGAACAAGGCGCACCGGAAGCGCATGAACCCCACGTGATAAATCTCATTGGTCTTTGGACTCGCCATCCTCCACTTTAACTGTATTTAATCTCCTTAAATTATATGATTTAAAATTTTAATATCATTTGATTGAGAAATTTCATCAGTTTAATGATCTAAATCTGAATATTAAATGGGGTTAAGTGCACAAAATAGTACCTCTACTAAGAGAACTGATTTATTGGTTATTTCTACTGTTAAAAATTATAAAATGATCTCTTAATTTATAAAACTGATAATATTTTGATCTGAACGTTAATCTGCTGATAGAGATATGATATTTGTTTGAGATTTTGAGTTCATATTATATTATATCTTAACCAATAGATTAATGTCCGACTCAAAATGCCATCAATTTTGTAACATAAAAATACGAGTTTGGGATACAATAAATAATCAGTTGATTATTTCGTAACTTTCAATAATTAAATGACTAAAAAAATGTGTGTATATATATGATATGAAAAAAATGTATGGGTAATTTAGCGTGAGATATATTTACAACGAATTAATCAAACTCAAATAATACTCCATATTTATTATGGATAATTTTAATACTATAATGTATTAAAAAATAATTTCATCAAATGGCATACATTTTCTTACATATAAGATCTTAATTGTTTATATAATATGTATGTATGTATGTATGTATATATATGCTTAAAATTTTATAATTTTAAAATGAATTAACTTAAATCTTAATTCTTTTGATTTTTTATAATTTACTTATTTTTAACATCTTATTTATTTTAATATTAAATAATTTAATCTTTTATAATTTAATCTTAACTCATTGATCATAATTCGATCTGATTTACAAATAAAGTTTTTTTTTGATTTAGTAAATTGGACATTTAGACCGGATTAATGAAATGGTTGGTCAAAACTCCATTCTTTTCCCAATTTAAACGAATCAGTAAGATGCAAGGAACAAACAAACTACTTTTCCCATAATTCTATGTTTAGAAATTTCCAAGTAAATAAAACTAACATTTTTAACTGGTAATATTATATGATTTAATTAATTAAAAGGGTACAATATACAAATGGTCATCCGACTATAGGATATTACTTTATTAAATCCTCATATTATTAAAAGTTACAAAAGAGTCATCCGACTGTAGAGTGTTGCTTTGTTGAGTCCATCGGCTATCGAAAGTTACAAAATGATCATCCGACTATACATTATGTTCTAAATTCATCTTTTTCCGTTAAAAAACTGATGGTATTCTGAGCTGAATGGTAACTTGCAGACTATGATAGGATGAAATATGATATCAGAATCTCAAACGACTATCACATCTCAGTTATCATATTAACGTCCAACTTAGATAACCGTTAAATTTGGAACGAAAAAGGATGAGTTTGGAACCTAATGAATAATCGGGGTAATCATTATATAGGTCGAAGGACTCAACAAAACAACACTCCATAATCGGAGAACTATTTTGTAATTTTTAATAACCGATAGACTTAATAAAATAATATATTACCATCGGGAGACTATTTGTATACTTTACCCTAATTAAAAATACTAAACGTGGAAAAGCCCAAGATGAGGCCCATTACAGTAAGAACAGAAACTGACAAGCGAAGTTACCATATTTCCCTCGTTAAAAACCAGATCTTCCTTTCCTCATTTCATCGCTCACACACACAAAAGTGAAGACCAACTCCTTCCCTGTAATCTGCTCTCCCTCCGCCTCCCCACCGCCACCACCTGCACCGCCCCCTCTGCCGTGTTCCACATCTGAGTATATCTCAAAAACCAGAACAAGCAATGGGAAAGGGCGGGTCTTTGAGTGACGGCGTCGTCAAGAAGATCCTTCTCTCCTACTCCTATGTAGCGATCTGGATCTTCCTCAGCTTCACCGTTATCGTCTACAACAAATACATCCTCGACAGGAAGATGTACAATTGGCCTTTCCCAATCTCTCTAACAATGATCCACATGTCCTTTTGTGCCACCCTAGCTTTCCTCCTCATCAAAGTCTTCAAAGTTGTCGAGCCCGTCTCCATGTCTCGAGAAGTTTTCCTCTCTTCCGTCGTCCCCATCGGTGCACTTTACTCTCTCAGCCTCTGGCTCTCTAACTCCGCTTACATTTACTTGTCTGTTTCCTTTATCCAGATGCTCAAAGCTCTTATGCCCGTCGCCGTTTATTCCATTGGGGTTCTTTTTAAGAAAGAGGGGTTTAAGACTGATACGATGGTCAACATGTTGTCCATCTCTTTTGGGGTCGCCATTGCAGCTTACGGCGAAGCTAGATTCGATACCTGGGGAGTCATCTTGCAGCTTGGAGCCGTTGCTTTTGAGGCTACCAGGTTGGTTATGATCCAAATCTTGCTTACATCTAAAGGGATCACCTTGAATCCGATTACTTCTCTGTACTATGTTGCGCCATGCTGTTTCGTTTTCTTGTTGGTGCCATGGATTTTTGTTGAGCTCCCAGTTTTGAGGGAAACTTCGAGTTTCCATTTCGATTTCTTCATTTTTGGGACCAATTCCGTATGCGCTTTTGCTCTGAATCTAGCCGTGTTCTTACTTGTTGGAAAGACTTCTGCTTTGACCATGAATGTAGCTGGTGTTGTCAAGGACTGGTTGTTGATTGCATTCTCTTGGTCTGTCATTAAGGATACTGTAACACCCATTAACTTGTTTGGCTATGGGCTAGCTTTTTTGGGTGTTGCTTACTACAATCATTCCAAGTTACAGGCTTTAAAGGCGAAAGAAGCTCAGAAGAAGACCGCACAGGCCGATGAGGAAGCTGGGAAGTTGTTGGAAGAAAGGGAAGGCGAAGGAAATGGCAAGAAGAGTGAATCTCAGGGTTAGATCATGTCGGTGGTTGGTTTTAGGATATGAAATATGGGAGAAGAGGTTGCAAATAAGGGCTAAAGGGTTTGTATTTAAGGGCACAAGGATCAGATTTCTTTTGCTCCTTCGGCTGCATTCGGGTTTTGGTATGTTGTGTTTTTAGGTTTACGTTCCATATGCTATTAATTATGGCCATTTCTTAGTATACCAGGGAATCATGATTCTCATATGTTGCTTATTTCAGAGATTAATCTATGTTACTAGAGGAAGAAGGATCTAATGCCCTGTACTCTGTTGTTCTTTATTTAATTTTTGTCTTATATTTTCCTTGGGATGTTTACAAATGTTACGGTAGGTACTCCTTCCATTTGTGGAATTTTAATGCATGCTTTTTCTTACATATTTCTTCTATTCTGGTTTCTCGGTTTCACTTATAGCAATGTGATATCCGCAGAGCTTACAGCTCGATGAACAAGGCTTTGTGATTTTTGTCGATGGATCGGAGTAATCTTATGTTTTTTGTGCTTGCCAGTGCTATTACCATTGTCTTGAAAGTATCTTTTAATACATAGCTGACCTTTGAGGTTTGAGAGGAGATCGTGGACTTAGTTTGATGCTGAGGTTATCAATTTGAAAATTTTGGGTTTATGGTGTACAGCTTGCTTGCTGATTACTACATGTTAGGTAGGTTTGGCATGACATGGTCTACCATACTAATTGGATTATCTTGAAATCAGTAGCTTGCTTACTGATTCACATGTTAGCAAGGTTTGGCTTGACATGGTCTACCATACTAATTAGATTATCTTGAAATCAGTAGCTTGCTTACTGATTCATACATGTCAGCAAGGTTTGGCATGACATAGTCCATGGCCATTTGATTTTACCTTGAACTCAATCCAAAGATCTGACGTATGCTCGACCTAGTATTGAAAGACCCCCTTTTGCCAAAAGAAAGGTCAGCAGGCAAGATCTGACGAATGCTCGACCTAGTATACGACAGTCTAATTTAAGGCTAATGAACGATAGGGAATGAGCTTAACTGAAAATGTTATAAAAAAACATGACAAATGTCAACCGAAAAATGTTAAGAAAAAAATTAACATTTTAGGTTGTGCCCAACTGAAAATGTTAGTTTTTATAACATTTTCAGTTACGCCTCTTCTTTACCGTTGCTTAGCCTTAAATTAAACTGTTTTTCCTTATACATTCCTATCAACATCTTTTTTCATCTAGTCAGTAGTAATGTTTAAACTATATGGCTCATTTGCTACACGTAGCCGGTTCCTCTTTTAGACTGATCCTATGCAACCCTACCCTACGGTGGCTTGGTTTCTTGCTAGAATTTGATATTGTGTTGAGAATTTAAGTAGGCTAAAAGAGAATGTTGTTCTTTATAGAGATCTTGAGTTCAAGCTCATAATCACAGTGTAAAAGGAATGGAAAATCAATATCATTTTGTTTGATTTTGTATGTCATAAACTTTTGTCAACTTATACTTTGGGATAAGTGGTTGACGTGGTAAAACCACAAGCAAGTGCGTTTTTGTGAGATGCTGAAAATGGTATCAACACAGCACGAATCGTACATTCTAGTATTTTGTCACCTCAGGAGAGCATTAGAAAATGTTTGGTCAATGTCATGGAAGAAACCCATCTTAGATTAAAGAAAAGTCCTAAATGGAGTTGAATCTTAGGGCAATTGCTGTTGAATCTTCTCAAGTAAGATAAAATGGAGTTGGTTAGTTCAAGTGAGCAATAACTGTGCACATACCACTAGTAAAAACGACAGTTTTTTTGTTGTTGGTAAAGGAAAACGATTTACCCACTGCAACCACCGCAAAAACTAGCCATGCTATATATGTTACCAATGGAGAATGATGGTGAATCGAATGGGACAAAGACACTTAAATTTAAAAAGATTCTATGGGAATCCTTGTAGCTGTTTGTAGAGGTCGAGTCGATTCTTGTTCTGCAAAGAGAACAGTACCAGGTTGCGTGTGATTGTCCACATGGTTTCAACTTCTTTTTCTGGTTTGGAAAAATCTGTTGTCACCTACGGCAGTGGCACCCTGTTGATAGTTTTCAGCTAACAAGTTGGTAGACAAGAAAAACGCGTGATTTTTCTAGTGAGAGAAGCTCCCGCTTCTCACTAGATTCCAGTTGATTTTAAAAAGTTATTTTTTTTAAAACCTCATCTACACTTCCCGGCGTTACTCCATTCATAACTCTGTGGTCGGCCACCGCTTCACTGCAGTTACAGTCGCCGTCAATAGTCTCCGACCGTCGCTCGCCGGCATTGGATAAAGAAAAAAATACACCATTTGAATCCTATCTTCACCCCAAACATGGATCGGACGCTGGTTTTTTCAAAATCGTCATAGATCGAAGTAGATCTAGACCCAGCAGTCCAAGTGTGTGTGTTTTTATGTATTGTGTGAGTTTAGCCTAGACTACTTCCCCAGCGTCATTCCCTTTATACCCAGCAGCCGACCACCACTTTCGGTGCCGCCACCGTCACTAAGCTTCGTCCGTCGCTTGTTGGCATCGGAACAGTAAAGAAAAACCACCTTTCGAAGCCTCTCTTCACCCCGGTTTTATTTCTGCCAACAGATTCTCCTGAAGAAACAAGCTGTTGTTTTGCGACGAGGTTCTCCACTACCGATTGACGTATCTTCCATAGCCGTTTTCCCACTGACTGCCTCCTACTTCCCGTTCTTCTATTCCGCCGTTGATCACCAGAACTTCCAGGTTCGCCGAGAGTTCTTCAAATATGCCGAGATGCCGAGAGTTCTTCAAATCTGCCGAGAGTTCTTCTGTTCTGCCAACATCAAGGATAGGCTTCGTTTCTTGAGGGAGAACCTCATCACAGTGGACCTAAGCCGAGAGTTCTTCAAATCTGCCGTCGTCGTCGTCGTTGACTCACTCCGGCTACAATAATCCCGTTCTGCGATTGGGTTCCTTCATAAATCGGAAGACATCAGTTCGGCTTATAATGTTTTCTTCTTCGGTAGCCGCTGGATCGCCTCGGATCCGAGGTAGATTGCTTCCGGGGTTATACAAGGCATTCTCACCTTTGGGTTTTGCCAATGGAGAGGCCAGACTTCGGTTAATGGATCAGTCCGAGAGTTGTGGTTCAAAGATGACGGCTAGGAGGCGTCTTCGAGTTATCCAATCACAACCAAAAAAACGTGAACGTCTCTAAACCCTCGTCGAGGGCAATGAATGGTGGGATATACATGTTGAGAAGGAAATTATTAATGGTGGTAATTGGAAGTAGTCGTTGAGAGGTGGAGATAGTTGGGGTTAGGTTAAATCAAGATCAAGTAGGGAAATGTATATGAGATCCTGATTGGAGGTTTCGTCGGTGAATAAGGATACTTTTTCTTGTAAGAAATATGGCGGAAAATAAATCTAGGCATGATGGTTTGTCTCCTTCACAAGGAGGGAAATGTAGGATTGGGAAGCTTTCTTAAGTAGCGGCATCACCAACTCATTTTGCCGCTGATGTTTATCACAATGGAATCAAGGAGGTCACCACGAAGAGGTATTCCGATGAAAAGTCGTATGAAGTAGCAAGGAGGAGGAGAATCGGGTTTCACAATTGGTGGAAGGAAGGCCAACCGAAAATCCGTAATGGGTTCAGAAGTGGTTGCTACACATTATTTATCGAAAATTTACCAGAGAATATCCATTAGAAGAGATTTGGATATTTGTTTTGCACACACGGTCAGATTATTGATACTTTCATTCCTAACAAAAGAAATTCAAGAGGGATTTGTTTTGGTTTCATTCGTTTTGCAAAAATCGATGAAACAAAGAAAACAATCTCAGAAATGAATGGTTCTTATATTGACGACAGCAAAATTAATGTTTCTTTGGCTAAATTTAAACCTCGACAGTCTTTATGGAGAAAGACCTCGACAACTAATCACCACAAATCGGGGATAAAAGTTTTTCCGAGGAATAATAATTGTGATGTTGAAGGTGTTATGGACGAGGATAAATTTAACATGTTGAGTAAATGTCTAGTGGGTTGGTGCAAGGACTTTATCAAAATCAGTAATCTCGCTAGTTAAATGCAAGCCAAAGGCCTCACTAGTTTCTCGTTAATGAGAGCTGCTGGAAATGCAGTACTAATTATTTTCGAAGACTATGCTTCATTGAGAAGTGTGAAGAATGATGAATCAGATTCTATCGCTAAGTGGTTCTCTAGAGTTGAAGCCTGGTCAGAAAGTCTGGTGGTGAAATGTCGTCGAGTATGGTTAGTTTGCAAAGGAGTTTCTTTTCACGCTTGGAATTATGACACTTTCAAAAACATTGCAGACATGTGGGGCAATTTATTAACAATCGATGAAAGCTGTCAGTCGCCATCATCTTTTGATCGGGCATCATCTTTTGATCGGGCAAAAATTCAAATCATCACAAAGGCTAATTTGAGAATTGACGAGTCGTTGGAGTTGAAGGTCAGTGCTAACTCCTTCAAAATCATGGTGCATGAAATTTACCCTTCCTTCAAACCAAATTCTTGGGTCCCTGAAGAAGTCGATACTCATTAAATCTCGTTTCTTCAATTAGGCCTTTGATTTGGTTTAACGATTGCAGGTGTTGGTTTCTTTTGTGTTATGTTCTTCTGTGTTTTGTCCCTTTTGCTGGAGGTGTAAATTACAAATAGGGTGATTGTCGATGGGGTTTTTTTGGTAGAGGATGTGAGATTTTTAGGTGTTGCTGGATTGTTGTAATTGTGTTTCTCCATATGAGAATATTCCGTGTTTCATATTAATATTAATAAACTATGATGTACTCTTTTCTTCCTTCAAATGTTCGTCAACATACTTCTTAGTATGTGATTGAATACGAAGAGAGTTTGAGGCCTCTAACTTTTATAAAAAAAAGCTAACAAGTCGGTAAAGTTAGGCTCCAATGTCAAGATCAAGGGCGGATTATAAAATTTTAGGGAACAAAAATATATTATTAATAGAAAATACCGTCAAGATCGAGGGTTAACACTCATCAATCCACCATCAGCCAGTCCCACCTAACAATATCGTGGCCACAGGATCCATCGGTAAATCTACTCTCACGTGCCAGCAGCTACTCATGCCAAAGTATGATCTCTAATTACCAACCTTTTCAACTATACCGAAAATAAACAAACAATTTGTACATCATAATATAAGGCCAACATGACAGACATGGCACATTTCACCGGTATTCATTAAAACTTTACATGCAAAACCACCTTTCATTACTACCCAAGGGTAAGAGTATATTGAATCAGTCAATTCAGTAAAATGATGATCGAAACTGGAACGCCTGCCGTCGACCAACATCATTCCGAGGAGAAACTCAATCCATCAATGGCCATGGATAATTCTGTTTCGGTTGCAATATCTTCGATTACATTTTCTTGTTTTGCTTCTGCTGCTGTTATACACTCCTGGGATCTGAAACAACTCGTGAGATGATCGTTCGTTATTCCCGCTGCTTGCATGAACGAGTAGATGATGGCGGGCCCTACACTCCGGAAGCCCCTTCTCACCAGATCTTTGCTTATGACATCTGCTTTTGCTGTTTTAACCGGAACCCGGCGAGGATATCTGAATCTGCTAACAATAGGCTTGTGGTTCACAAAGCTCCAAATATACTGGTCAAATGACCCGAACTCATCGATAACCTGGCATCATCAAAACCTACAAAAGGTTAGTTGCAATAATGAACACAGTCACTAAGTGGAGTGCAACTTAAGTACTTACTTCCAGTAACAAGAGCCAGTGGTGGGCAATGGAAAGCAATTAAAATATATGAATGACTTGGGACTTACCAACTAAGCAAGCTGGCATCTAATAGATGGGGATAATCAAGTTTCCTAACCAAATAAAATTAATATATATGACCAAACTGCAAATTTGTGGCATTGTGGTTTGTCCCATATGATTCAAACATATGACTGGGAGGTTTAGGACCACTATTAAGCTGTTTTTTTACCTAACCTAATCACTAGAAAATTCATAATCTTTCAAAAGTTCGATCCAACGTCTTTGCCGAAGGTTTAGGACCACTATTAAGCTGTTTTTCAACCAATACGATTCAAATTCGTGATCCTAAATTTGTTTAATTATTTGTTGCTAGAGTAAGAGAGAACAATGTGATTCAACGTGCAGCACCGTAATTAGATAATTCTGTTTACAAGTGATTCACGGTTTCATGTCTACCAAGGTAAAACAATGGTGAACAGAAGAGTGAGATAATCTACCTTAGATATTTGACGTGCATTCGCAATAATAGCTCGCAGCTTCAAATCTGATAACAAAGAACTTGCTGCGCTGCCATATGTTATTAACTTCTTCTCGTTCAATTTCGATACAGCAAGAGGATCAAAATCCATAAAAACTTCTCTGAATAAAAAAGACACTTTAGAAATGAGTCTGCTTATTCAGTAAAGTAAATGGAAATCAAGGGAACAATACCTAAATACGTGTCTTTTGCTTAGGATAGCAGACCATGTAAGTTCAGACAGTGCACCCGAAAGTACAAGCAGCTCGAACAATTTCCTGCATGTGGACAATAATGTCAAGCAAAATACTTAACCAACACAATTTTATCATTAGAGGCAGCCCTTTTAAGAAGCAACAGGATGGGAGACACGGCAATGTTGCGATCACGTACTTGTCATCATGTACAGGGACTCCCCACTCTTCGTCATGGAAAGCAGCGTAAATTTGATCTGATGCCAAAAAAAAAAATAAGTTCACAGAAAACATGCGGTAACCTAATACTTAGACAAAGGTTATGCAGCTATTACAACAATTGAAGGCAGTCTTAGGTGGAAGATGTTCACATAATATCAAATCAACCATGAAAAAAAACACACAAATTAGAGGACACAACAACACACCTGTATTTGGTGTCACCCATGCGCATCTCTTCTTCTGATGCAGACCATCAGAAACAACACTCCTCGGTTTTGGCATGTACGGCTTCCTCTTACCTCCTACACAATTTGAACGAATTGACTTACCAGTCAATGCTCGACCGTGAAATGAATCCGTGGAAGCATCCGACGAACATGAAGCATTCAGTGATACGTTAGAATGCAATAACTGTTCATGGCGGCCCAGCACTGAAGGAGCACTAACAGAATGAGTTTTTGGTGAAAGAGAATCAACAGTAGACGATGGAAGGGCTTTTTTCTCCTCTACTACAGCCCTCTCAACTGGAGACTTGCCAACCTTTTTCACAGGCTTTGAAACTGGTCTTCTGGCGCTTAATGAACCCGCCTTGTTCCCGGCAGGTCCCAATACAGGCCTTGCCTCAGATTCGGCCACATTCATTGACCTCAATCTTGGAGCACCAGACATAGATTAAGAATAATAGACAACAAACACGCAAATTGACTGCAGGCTGAAAAACTAATTTGTTATAGCAACACTAATCATCAAGGGTTCTCAGATTTTTTTTAACCTCAAACCAATCCTAATTTCTAGTTTATCAGCGGCCCTTACACAACATTACCCAATCAGCCTCAAAATGATCAAAACTAACTGATAAAATCCAGGAAAACAATCACATTCCTCAAACAGAAAAATCTTAAACAACTTCAGAAATCTTCAACGCCTACAATTGCGTATATATTTTAAGCTTACAGTACAGAGTACAGGCATTCATCCCTTGAAAGTTCCGAAGAATATATCTCAGCTTTTCACTAAAAAGGTATCCTCAAATCTTCAATTCTAGCAATCTAAGCTTCACTTGAATCCACAAAAAAACTCACTCGGGAGAGAACCTTTTTAAGAACTAGAAGGTAAAGGCTCAAACTTTAAACGTCAGAAAGAAAAGAAAGAAAAAAACTGGGATCACGTCGTATTTTCATTTAAAGCATTCACATTTAGCCTCGAAAAAAACGGGAGAGAAAAGGGTTTCTGTTACCTTAAAAGTCAAAAGGAAAGTTCTTTTAAACTGTTTCGTTTCAGAATCCAGACATCAACTCAAGGAAACGTAAAAGCCAACACAATTGCAGGCAACTCCATACTTTCCTCGATAAAAGCAGGGAAGAAGCGATGAAATTTGATTGGGAAAAAAAGAAGAAAAAGAAATTCAATCTATGAGCATTGGATTCCTCTCTCTGAAATACTATATTTATAGCGTCGACAGAGAAGTAAGGAACCAATGGGTGGAAGAGAAAGAAAAGTGAAGATTGGCCTTTTGCTTCTTGTATTTTATTGGAGAGTGACCGCTTATATATAGTTTAATGAAGGTTGTTCTTTCAAAAAAAAATGAAGGTTGGTATAACAGATAAACATAGGATAAGAGGATTAACGTATTTTTAAACGTATGCTGCTATGTTTCTTTTATAAAGAAAGATGGAATGCAAACTGTAATTGAAATTGACTCTGGTTTGATTTGATGTTCTTTGATTCTACCTTACTTTTACTTTCTAAGTATAGCTTTCATCCCATGACAATGATCAAAGTAAACCCTGTTTTTCTTCTTTTAATCCAATCTAGAATACACATTTTTCTACGCATTGCCATTCCACCGATCCGGTGCTGGCTGTTAAGTCCAAGGGTTTTGGTTTTCAGCAAAGGATTCAATTAAAAAGTTGCTTGTTTCAGCCATTGAAAAGAAGAAAGAATCTTGCTGTCACCAGTTATCTTATTATTTTAGCGCTTGAAGGTCAATGGATGTCTTCTGATCAGTCCAGTTTGCTCAAATAACAATTAGTATTAGGTGAGTATTCCGCTCTTCTATCTAATTAGTTCGACTCTTTTAGTTGGGTTTAATATTTACTTAATAGTAATGGTGTGCGGTTCAAAAATAAGAAGAGACAACTTTCTTACCTTTTGAACTTTTCCATCCCTAGGATTCTTCACTACAATTTTCTCTAATCCCATATTTTATATTTTGCTTACTCTTTTCTCTAATACTATATAAATAGTAGATGTGGAAGTGGGAGCCATCAACACGGAAACATGGGGTAAGGAAGGAATCAAGTTTTCTTACCCAACACTCGTCATATTCATTTGTCAAATACACTTTACATTGTAAAACAGTGGAAAGTGAAGGATCAAAGTTGATGTCATTAAAGGAAGATTTCGATTTAAAACTCGAAAGCAAAAGCAAGACAAACCCCTTTCTAGCCGGTAACCAACTCGGGTGAAAAAAAGATGGGTTTCATTCTTCAAACTAGAAATCATAAATTCAGCCCTTGTGTCTCAACTCATATTGGAGAGGGAAAAGCATCAATTCTTAAGAGACTTATATGATAGAGCATGGTATGGGGTGTGAAGAGGGCAAGGTATCTCAAATCCCTACCTTTCTTTTGCAAATTATTTTCTATTGAAACCAAAGCGAAACTTGCCCTGCAAACAAACCCAATCTCCCTAAAATTTTCGAGTTCTACACCGGCTATCAAAATCATGCCTACAAATTAACAGTGTACTCAAAACCTTTCGAGATATAACCTATGCCACTGGTAACTCGCATGTTTAAGGATATGAACTCCTAGTAGAATTCAAATTGTTCAAGGAGAATGACAATCTCGATTTCAAGTTGACAAACTATCTGTGATGGGGCTATGTTTGACTTGTTCCTTCTAATAAACTTGCCAGCTAACATTAGTGGCTTCCTGGTTCCTATCTAAAAGCTCAATTAATAATCTAACCTTGAATTGTCAGCCATTTATATTGGGTTATTCTTTCCTCCTAAAACCCCAACTCTGGAACTCCCACGGGAAATTAACTTTATTCATCTTGACGTAGTTTTGACTCATTACAAGCTAAGTGACACAATAACAGCAGCAATAACTTCCCTTACCTCACAACTTAGAAAGAGTATTTAAAGGATCTTATCTATCTCAAAAGATAAAATGGAAGTAAGAAGAACATGTCAACAATGCAACAAAAACATTAGATTTGTTCAAAAACAAAACATTTGGATCCCCAAGAATCTATATATACACCATAAAAGGTCAAGCTAATACGTCCATCTCAGTATTGTTTTAAAACAGATAAAATAAGGCAACCAAATTGCTGTATTCTGCTCCATCGATGAAGCGAAAAATCAAATGATACGAAAATGACATCTGCAATAGCTCAAAACCATCCACAAATTAGTAAAATATTCAAAAGTAAAAAAACGTGTAGTTCTATGAAGTTCATCTTTGCGGTTCATGCATACGTTAAGGAAAAAACTTGCAGTAATCTACAAATCACCTCATCTCTCCTAACAGATTGCATTAGAACATATTATTATAGTTGTTAATGACCATATATTGTTCTTTTTCTTTTTCTCTCTCTACTTTTTTGATATTCTGAAACGAGGTTTTATATGGTTTTTAGATTTAACTTGGCGGACAAGACAATCAAGCTTGAAGCTTTTGTGGGCTGAGACTAACTGGATTGGGCTTAGAAGAAAAATAAAGTAATTACAAGTTTAATATCTAATCTATCATTTTTATCCATTTTAGTATCTAAATTTTTATTTTTTAAAATTTTACCAAAGTTTAGCTTCGTTTCATTTTTAGTACCATGCCATTAAAAACTTTAGTTTTTGTTTCATTTTACTATCCCATTCAAAATTTAACGTTATGTTTTGAAAAAAACTTGAAAATTTAGGTACTAAAACAGATCAAAACTAATAGTTTAAGTATTAAACATGTTATATTTTTAATGACGGCACGAAAATGAAATAAAAACTAAAGTTAGGTATAGTTTTGAAAAATTTAAAAGTTTAGGTACTAAAATAGACAAAAAATGATAGTTTAAGTATTAAATGCATAGTTTACCCAAAAGATACTATGAAGGATGTTTTGAGACAAACAAAAGGATAAACTACATAATTGTCACTAAAATCTGAGTAATCTTTTCTTTTCCATATTAAAGTTTTCAAAATAATGAAACTGTCATTAATATTATCGAGAAGTAACAAAATGATCTCTATATCGTCCGTATCGCATAGAACTGGTTTAACATATTTAAATGCTGAGATGTTACCGTTTGATGAAGTTAATTAATATTTTGACCGACCATTTCATTAATCCTTCTTAAACTATAAAGAAATTATCATCGACACATAATCATTTTTTTAAGTTTTAAGGTTTCGTCTTGATTAATCTGAATCGACCTGAGTCGCACACTAATTTTAGTGAGTCTCTCAACCAAAATTTTCTAAATACACAAATACTCGAACCTAAAATCTTACTTAAACAATTCAAATTACTTATCATTTGAACCAATCCGTTTGTGACACATAATCATTTTTAATCTTTTAATTTTTACTCTCTTTCTCCATTAATGAAATTTCCGTTACTATTAATCGTTTGACTCATGTTCTGTCATTATGATTTAAGAATAATAAAAAATGACTGTCCCTTTTTCTCATATGTATGGGATAAGGGGAGGTAAGATAGTAGGCTACCCCCAACACTAGATTGAGAGCAACTTCCGTAAGAAACTTCCGAATTATGAAATGCCCTCCGTGGGACTCGATCCCACGACCTCAAGATTAAGAACCTTGTGCTCTACCAACTGAATTATCACAAAAATTATTAGATATAATTATAATAAAATTCAATTTAATTGAATTATATCTAAATATAGTTTTATCCGTTTTAAAAACTTGAATTCGAGCAGAATTGATTTTACGTTTTCTTTTTTAATTTTCATTTTAATAACTTATCTGCTAATTGCCACACACATATTTATTTATCGAAACCTAATTACGATCTCCAGACTTCAAATCCTTTTACTTTTTTCAGTGTTTTGTTACTCCCCAAGTCACGATCTAAATCTGGGATTAGGGCTTCTTTTCCAGTCGCTCATTTGAACTCGAAGAGCCAAGTTCATGGCACACACTGTGGCTCGCGCCACTCTTGGCCTTACTCAGCCAGCTAACATCGAACACCCCAAGGTGATTCTTTTCTTTCTCTCTGTTGGGTTTAAGTAAAATTGTGTTTTGATCGCCTCTTTGGGTCTAGATCGAAATCTCAGTAGGGTATTTATATATCTTTGAAAGAGTGAACTTCATTGTTGATTGTTTGGAGTCTTTTTAATGGTTAAATGGCCTTTGAAGTTTGACCGCGGATTGATTCTCTAAATGGCTTCTAAAAGTTGATGTTTTTATGTTAATGGCATCGGATGACGAGTATAGGTTCATTTCTGTAATAAATGGGAGTAAGGATTACCTAAGCATTTGTCAGCTTTTAATATGTATGGTATAAGATCATCTGTTAACTCCCTGGATTCGCTTTTGATCTTAAAATATAAAAGTCGGTTCGTTTGTGTGTGTTTATTTTGGTGAAATACCAAGCAATGTTACTAAAATGTCTGTTGTCTTTTTTGGTGGATAATGCTGGAAAGATCTCTCTTGCTGCAAAAGAGATCAACCCGGTAGAATGGATAGGGGACATCCTTGCAGTTGGGGTCACTGAGAAAGACATGGCCAAGGATGAAAACTCCAAGTTTCAGAACTCAATTTTGAAAAAATTAGATGGCCTGTTGGGTGGTCTGTTAGCTGAGGTCCTTTCTGAGGAGGATTTCACAGGAAAAGCTGGCCAGTCAACGGTTCTTAGACTTCCCGGCCTTTGCTCTAAAAGGGTTGGTTTGATTGGTCTTGGACATTCAGCTTCATCTCCAGCTGCTTTTAGAGGGCTTGGCGAGGCTGTTGCTGCAGCCGCAAAGACTGCTCAAGCTAATAGTGTAGCTGTCGTCCTTGCCTCTGCAGAAGGGCTATCAAATGAGTCAAAGCTCAGTATTGCTTCCTCAGTAGCGTCTGGTAATGCACTTATGATTTCTTAGTTCCATGTCCGATGCATTTATTATTAAAGTTGATCCGAGTTGATCTAAGTGGCATGGTCTGTATTCTGATAGGTACTGTGCTCGGAATACATGAAGATAATAGATACAAGTCAGAGTCGAAGAAACCACAGCTTAAATCTGTGGATATTCTTGGTCTTGGAACTGGACCAGAGTTGGAGAAGAAGCTAAAGTATGCTGAAGATATTTCTTCTGCCATAATATTCGGAAGAGAGCTTGTGAATTCACCTGCCAATGTACTTACCCCTGGTTCGTACGGGCATTATTATTATTATTATTTTTGTTTAAAAAATCCTTCCTTTTTACAGTTAATAACTTAATATTAAGGATGATTTTATTTTGTTTTATTTAATTTTTAATTTTATGCTTAAGGGAACAACTAGAAAACTGAGTTTCCTACATGTCAGTGATGGGGTTATACTTGGTCTAATGTGTCTTTTTTTGCTGCAGCTGCACTAGCAGCGGAGGCTTCAAAAATTGCTTCCTTGTACAACGATGTTCTTTCCGCAAACATCTTGACTGCAGATCAATGCAAGGAGTTGAAGATGGGATCTTACCTGGGAGTTGCTGCAGCATCTGCTAATCCCCCTTATTTCATCCATTTGTGCTACAAACCTCCAAGTGGACTTATTAAAGCTAAGTTAGCATTAGTTGGAAAAGGATTGACTTTTGACAGGTAATTTCATATATACTTGCACATGCTCTAGCAAGAAGATATTTATGGTCCAGTTACCTTAAGAAATATAACAAAGAGAGAATAAGATGCCTTCCATACACACACACACACACACACACACACACACACATAATTAAAGTGGGTGCTGTATGCCATAAATAAAGAGATGGCTTCTGCATTAAGTGTGACCAATAAACGAGGAATTTATTTAATTTTTCTCTTTTCCACTTCTTGATATGAGCAGTATATTGCATGAATGATTTGATCAGTTTTTTCCTAGTGAGATCTATTTAACATGAGTTGCTGGGAATTTGGAATATATGTAGCTTGTTTTCTTTTTTCCATTGGTTTATTTATAGGTTTTGAATGGTTGTCTTAAATGTTCTAGTGGAGGCTACAATATCAAGACTGGACCTGGTTGCTCGATTGAGATTATGAAAACTGACATGGGAGGTTCTGCAGCAGTTCTTGGTGCAGCCAAAGCCCTTGGGCAAATCAAACCTCCTGGAGTAGAGGTTAGTCATTTTGTTGCTCTCATTTGTTGTTCCCTTCCATGTTCCTTGATCGCTGTATTCTTTTTTTCATAGTTATATGTTTGAAGGGCCGGGGAAAGGATGAATGTTCTTTTTTTTATCATGTTATTTGTCCTTTCTTTTTCATTTGCTTTTTCCAATTTCTGCGTCGGATCTAGATTTTCACGTAGTAAATTGTCATATTTTGCAGGTTCATTTTATTGTCGCATCTTGTGAAAACATGATAAGTGGGACAGGTATGAGACCTGGAGATATTATCACAGCTTCAAATGGAAAAACAATTGAGGTATACATTGTTTGGTTTTGACAAAAGAGAAAATTGAGTTATAGTTAAATTATATGGTATACTGACATTTTAAAGCGGATTAGTTGGCTTTCTTTGTTGTCTTTATTATATTTTTCAGGTTAATAACACTGATGCAGAAGGCAGGCTTACACTTGCGGATGCTTTGGTTTATGCTTGCAACCAAGGTGTCGATAAGGTAAAACCAAACACTGCAGATGCTTTGGTATATGCTTATTCTGTACAGACAGTAAGAATTATGTTTTAAGAGTGTTCACTTTTTCCCCCAGATAGTTGACCTCGCAACACTAACCGGGGCTTGTATTGTTGCTCTGGGACCATCAATTGCAGGTACACATGAATATGAATTCTACAATTCCTGGAAAATAGTGTTTGAAAATTGAAATATATCGTTTTTTTTTTAAAAAAGTTTGGAGCTTTTAACATTTTTGTTCCACTTTATAATTGCGATAGTTTTATGGGTGTCAATTAAGTCTGGAGAAACATGATGACATCTGAATGTTTTACACATAATCTTACATATTTGGCAGGGTCATAAATGACATTCTTCACTCGCCTTTGAAACATTCAATTAGTATACTAACTTTTTCCTTTTTCCCATGTAAAAAGCCCTTTCCTGATTCATAATCAGTTAAAAGGATATTGCATACATCTTTTGTTTTGTTATTTACTCTTTTGAAAGTTACACGGCTTGCCAAATTCATTTGAAACATTTTCTTTTTCTTTTTCAGGTGTCTTCACACCAAGTGATGTTCTAGCGAAGGAGGTATTTGAAGCTTCAGAGGTCAGTGGTGAGAAATTTTGGAGGATGCCCCTTGAGGAAAGCTACTGGGAATCAATGAAATCAGGAGTTGCTGATATGGTAAATACCGGTAGTCGTCAAGGTGGTGCGATCACTGCAGCTCTATTCTTGAAACAAGTATGTGAACTTTCTCTGTCGTTTCATTCTGTTTTTTACATACTCATACACTCCGACGGACAGATGTTGCAGAATTTGATTGTTGAGCTATGGTTTTGCAGTTTGTTGACGAGAAAGTACAGTGGATGCACATTGACTTGGCTGGTCCTGTCTGGAACGAAAGAAGCGTGTAGCAACCGGATTTGGTGTCTCAACTTTGGTGGAATGGGTTATCAAAAACTCTTCCAAGTGAAAATTTGGAGCTTGCTGTGGTGACATTGTGAATATGGAAGAAAAAAGACCAAACAAGTTACCGAACCAAACATTATATCTAGCTTCAACTGTACCCGATAAATTTCATTTCTTTTATCACGGTTTATGGTGATTATTGTGTCAACTGTACCCGAAAATTTGGAACTTGCAGGATAATGCTTGCCCTATTTACCCAACATCGTAAAAAAAGGACTCTAATTTGCAAAATTTGTCCTCTCAAATTCACAATGTTTTAGGTTCTAAATGCAGTGTGTTGTGTTATTGGATTGGACCGGAAAGCCTGAAAAAACCAACTAAAATTGAAAAACCCAAAGGCAAAATCTTTAACGCAACTATCATTTTCCTTCTCGGCAACTGCTTTAGGCTGTGCACGTATTTCGTCAAACATAACATAAAAAATTCCTTTGTGCTAAGTCGGAGTGATACTCAGAAATATCGATGTCTTCCGTTCAGACATAGCCGAGTTTCTCTCGGCTCTTGTCTCTCTTTCTGAATCAAAACCATCTAAAGCAACAAAGCTGTCTTCTTTTTCCCCCCTTGTACAGCTAAAAATCCATTCTCAAAGCAATATATAACTAAACCCACAAGCAGGGAATATGCCGGACCTTTATTAGCTCCCTTTTGACTCTGGGTTTTGTTTTTTGATCAATGATCACGTAGTTAAAGACTAAAGATTCTTTCTTGTTTGTTGCATTCAAACATGAGTGTGTCTTTGACTGTAATGACTTTTAATCTGCATGATGATCAACCGGAAGACAGCCCAAATTCGTGGGAGAAAAGGAGGGATTTGCGCATAAGTGTCATCACTAGTTACTCCCCTATCATTCTTTGTACTCAACAAGGTATTATCTCTCTTCAAGTTCTTCCTTTCCCTCGTTTTCTGTGATATATGCAATTGGATCTCTTGTTGTCGCTACTGTTTTCTTATTTTGACTGATCTGGGTATTCCCTAATTTGAATTTTGGAGATTGGCTTCTGTTCTTTCAAAGGGTGCTTAGGGTTGTGCTGTTGGAAATACTAAGCTTCGTTGAGTGAACGTTGTTTTTGAGGAAGGGTTTGTATTTTGGAGATTGATTCAAGCTCGTTTCAGTAACTTTTAGGGTCTCGCATTCCCTTGCTTGATGCCCTTCTTCTGGGTTTATTTTGATTGAGCTTTTGTTAGTTATTAGTTGCTTTCCTTTTTTTTTCTTCCTTTTAAGTATTATTGTTGTACATTATTGTTATCGTTTTGGTGTTTGCATTCAGGTGTACAATCTCAACTGGATTTTCTTCAGCAGGGATTGTTAGGTAATGTTGTCCAATGATCATTCAACCTTCCAACTTTCCAACTAGTGATGAGCACTCAAAGTCATGCAGTCTTACCTTATTAGGAAGGATTAAATGTTGCCATTAGGTCAGTTCTTGATAAATGGTGATGATGAGAAGGATGCACTATTGGATATTTACTTTAGTACTTGATGATGCCCTAGTATGAAATGATTCTATATAATTTAATTTGCGTTATTTATGTGTTGCAGTACGAGAACTTGGCATTCTTGCTTGATAGACTTATTTGCGTGTATTCAAACAGCACAAGAGTGAAATTGGGAGTTTTAGATTAATGCGTAGCCTTTTTTTGTTGTTGCTGTTTTAAGGGGTGTAAATAAATGGCATTGTGTTCAATCTTTTTATTCTGGTCGAAGATCTGCTGAAACTGATTCTTATACGATATTTTAAAATATGCACCTAGACAGCCGGATTGAGTTCCAGTTGCATGTTTGAGTGTGAAAAATTCGGAGTTAGGTCTCATATAGTTGATCTTGAAGTAAATGCTCTTTCGAAATAATGCGGAAGAGGAAAAACCCATCCCAATTAACGGGTCTTGTAAAAGGGATGAAAATTTAGCTGTACTTTACTCGCATAATGCAGAAATGAGAGTGCCACTAGATTGAATCTCCTTTCCCTTCCTTTTTTAGGGCCAAAGGCCTATGTCAGTGTTAAGAAACTTTATTTTCATTAACTCGGTATCTAACCACTGGAGATTGGAACAAGAGAGGGTAACATGTTTAAAGATAGACACTTTGACGAGCACCATAGATTCAAAGGACCCTGAGGAATGTTTTACCACCTTCGTGCTTGAAAGCAAATGATAATAGTAGTGCAATGGTCAAGGGTTGTGTGGAATGTAAACTCTAAATTTTCAATTTATTTATGTGCGTAGAAAATATAATAATCAAAGCTTCTTTCTCATCTTGGTGTTTATATATGTTTGACCATTAGCTTCTCTGAGTTAAATGTGAATGTCGGGTCATTTAGGTTTTCTGGGTCCCGACTCCTGAGTCATAATTTCTTCTTGTGCTTCATTATGAAGGGTTGTCCCAATTCAACTGTACTAACCCTTTCCAGCAAGATTGCATGTTTGAATGAATGCAATTACAATTATATATATTTTCCTATCGATTTAATGGTGAAATAGTAAAGTATTTGTTAATAGTTTTGTTTCAAACATCGTCTTTTCTGTGACTAGAATTTGGCAGAATGGAATATGATTTTCTTTTCTTTCTATGTTGTGCAAACATAATTCTTTCATACTAATCATGGGTGATTTTGGTTTGTTGTCCTCCTATAGGGTATGATCAGTTCGGAGTATCAAGAAAAGGGCCCCAGGACAGTTCAGATGAACATTGCACAATCTTCTATGACAAGGAAAAGGTATCTTTGTAGTTTCTTCATGCCTATAGTTAAATATTACGGTACACATTGTTTTAACATTCTTTTCATCTTAATTGAAGGTAGAGTTGATTGAAGGTGGAACCTTTTGGCTGTCCGAGTCACCTTCTGTTCCTGGGAGCACATCATGGGGTTCAGAAGTTCCATGCATTGCAACATGGGCTATATCCTGCTTTATTCAGCTTTCCGTTTTGATCTTATATTATATGAAGTTCCAGTTGCAGACATTGATACCACTTGTATTCATAGAAAACCATTGTGTTAGTTTGTTTACTTGACATGATGGCCACACATTCCAACTTAAAGAAGTTGAGCCACCAGGATTCTCATTTCAGATTGTGAATACCAATATGGATGAGTCCAGTCCTCGTGCCCGTAGGCAAAGTGCTCTGCTTACATGGCAACATATTGCATCCTTACCTCCTAGCTTACCAGTTGTGTACTGTGGTGGATTTAACACACAGAAGGAATCAACAACCGGGCGTTTTCTTCTTGGGAGATCAAGGTATTCTATTTAGTGCAAAATCATTTAGCTGTTTCATAACACTTATGCACCTCCAAATAAACAAACTTGGGGTTTACCCCACTCCGGTTATCTTCTTTTCTGTTGCAGTTCACTACGATAGAGCATCTGCACATCTTCTTTGTGATAGGGGACTGATTTCTTTGCTGTTGGTCTGTTGCTATTATATATGTGCAGAGAACATGGTGTGGTGGGAGACATGAGGGATATTTGGCCTAATGCTCGGGTGAGGAAAAACGTTTCCCTAATACGAACTTATCATGGCTTCAAAGGTATTTATCTGGCCCAAACTTTGATCTGTTAGTGAGTCGTGATATGCTTGAACTTAAATGATGATTTCGTCCGCTCAGGTAACAAGCAGGGAGCCCTAGAATTCCTCAAGTTGATATTTAGAGCGCTCTGCCTCTGCTGGGACCGCCAAACACAAGATCTACACGTAGACTGGATTCTTTTCAGGGGCAGATCTCTTATACCCTCTTCATGTGAAGTGGTCAATGATAACATCGACGGTTATTACCCCTCCTCTCACTATCCTATATTTGCCGAGTTTCTTCTTCCACGTACCGTGAGATTGATAGAACCACCTACACATACACAAGAGGACAATTAGAATGCCATTTGTTTATAATCAATCTATCATGTTTCCCCCTTCTTTGAAGCTTGTCATATTGTCATTTCATTCAGGAATATATGTGTGTTTCGACTCTCGATCATGAATCATTTATGACTACAAGTATTTTCAGCTGATGTTTGGAATTGCCTTCTCAATCCTCATGGCCAGAATAGGAGAAAAACCATTTGGAAACTGATTCCAGATTGTGAACCTTTACTGATTTTCTGCATTTCATTCTTTTGGTTCTTAAATTATCAGCATGAGCTTGAAAGAAAAGCTATCAGAATCATACACGTTTTTGGAAATTGATTCATGTCATGTTCTCTGTTTTTTTCCCTTAAGAAATAGACTGAAAAGGAGACCCACACATGTGTAAACCATATGGGTCCAATTTCCTTCTCTTTTCTCACTAATAATGATTTATAGTTAAACCAATCCAAGTTACATTTTTTTCCAACTTTCACTGCAAGATAATAGTTGTGTATTTTAGAGAAAAAGAATGTAGCAAATAACAACGAAGAAAGAAATTTTAACTTAACTGTCCAACGAGTCAAGGTCACCTGATAAGGCCAATCGAGAGAATTTAAAGCCAACGGTTGGTGAGGGTCCTCTCTATAAACGTATAGTTTCAGGGTTTTCTCCCCAGGGATTCATCTCTCGTGTTTACTAAACAACCACCCTTTTTTCTTCTCTTTTGTGTCTCACTGTCTCTTCATTTCTTCCTTCACAAACAAGAAATTTCAACTCGGCAAGTTTTTTTTTTGATTCCTCTGGAGAGTGGAAATTCGGGCAAACGGATCGAAACATGGCGGGTCATAGGTTTGAAGTTGCATGGATCTTCTTTTTGTTTGCTCTTTTCTTCGTTCGAGCCCATTGTTTATACCTCCCTGGTGTTGCCCCTGAAGATTTCCAAAAGGTCAGTTTCATCACATGCATGCATGGGCCATGCATGTATGTTAATGCATGCATTATCATGTGTTTTGGATCCTTGGGTTGACTTGAATTTTCCAATCTATTGTTGGGTTTCATTTAGATCCGTGTTTAATGATCTCTAGAATCGCCGTTTCGGTTGAATGAATTTGGATATGATGATTCTTTGGAAGTTTAGGCTGATAACTTTTTTACCAATACCACAAGTTCTTTGGTCTATTTGGCTTAAGATTTGAAGACTATTTATGAAATTTGAATGCTGATTAAAGCATCTGAATCTTTTGTGCTCAATAATCCAATCTACGGGCTCTTTGCTTTAATCCAACTTATGGTTTAATATACTTTTGTTTAATGTTCATTTCTCTCCATTTATGCAGGGGGGTCCATTGTTGGTGAAAGTGAATAAGCTGACTTCAACCAAAACACAACTTCCTTATTCCTATTATTACCTACCCTTTTGTCAACCCGATCATATAGTCGACGGTGCCGAGAATCTCGGGGAAGTCCTTCGCGGTGATCGAATCGAAAACTCTCCTTATGTGGTGAGTTCGGACACCAAAATCACTCCCTTAATCCTCTTTGCTGTACTATGTTTTTTTCAGCGAGGGATTCTGTTTGCAGTTTAAAATGAGAGACGCAAATGTGCAATATCGTATGTCGTAAAATTCTTGATAAAAAAGCTGCAAAGGCGTTCAAGGAGAAGATCGACGATGAGTACCAAGTTAACATGTGAGGATCTCATTCTGGATATCTTAGTTGTAGCTTTCATTTATTCTGAGTAGTAAGTGATATTTATAATATGTTTGTGACAGGATTTTGGATAACCTTCCATTGGTTGTTCCTATAAGAAGGCCTGATCAGGAAAATGCTGTAGTGTATCAGTATGGATATCATGTTGGTCTCAGAGGACAGTATGCCGGGGTAAGTGTTCAACTGATTGCCGCCTGTTTAGAACAATTTTTATTATTTTTATATTTGATAATGAAAGCTATTCTTCTTTGGTTTCCTTGCAGAGCAAGGAAGAAAAACATTTTATAAACAATCACTTGATATTTACAGTCAAATATCACAAGGATCCATTGTCAGATTCTGCAAGGATTGTTTGATTTGAGGTCAAACCATTCAGGTTAAATTCTATTACCTTTCTTTTACCACTGGTTTCATTTTCTGCTTTTCTTAAAGCCATTTTGACGAACGCACAATACAGTGTTAAACATGAATATGAGAGTGAGTGGAACGAGAAGACTCGTCTGACGACCTGTGATCCCCATGCGAAACGTGCAGTTACTAGTTCTGAATCTCCTCAAGAGGTTGAAGAAAAGACGGAGATCATATTTACTTATGATGTTGAGTTCCAGGTCTGCAATGTGTACTTTGTTACAAATGAGAATACCTTGCTGCATACGCTGTTTCATTCTATTCAACAAGTTACTTCTTGTGATCTTGCAGGAAAGTGATATAAAGTGGGCATCCCGATGGGATACCTATCTTCTAATGGATGATGATCAGATCCATTGGTTATCCATTGTTAATTCTTTGATGATTGTGATCTTCCTCTCGGGGATGGTGGCTATGATCATGCTACAAACTCTTTATCGGGATATCTCGAAGTACATCAAACTCGAAAACCAAGAAGAAGCACAAGAGGAGACGGTGGAAACTGGTCCACAGGGATGCTTTTAGGCCTCCAACAAATTCCGACTTACTCTGTGTGTATGTTGGAACTGGGGTTCAATTCTTTGGTATGATTATCGTTACCATGATCTTTGCTCTCCTCGGCTTCCTATCCCCTTCAAATCGAGGTGGGATAATAACCGTCATGCTTCTGCTCTGGGTCTTCATGGGCCTGTTTGCCGGATATTCCTCGGCTCAGCTTTATAAGCTGTTCAAGGGAACAGAATGGAAGAAAGTTACACTCAAAACAGCATTTATGTTCCCTGCAACTGTGGTTTCCATTTTCTTTGTCTTGAATGCTCTAATATGGGGCCAGAAATCTTCCGGGGCAGTGCCATTTGGAACCATGTTTGCATTGGTATTGTTGTGGTTCGGCATCTCGGTCCCGCTTGTTTATGTGGGTAGTTATTTTGGTTTTAAGAAGCCAGCGATCGAGGATCCGGTGAAAACAAATAAGATCCCAAGGCAAATTCCAGATCAGGCTTGGTACATGAACTCAGCCTTCTCCATCCTAATTGGGGGCATACTTCCGTTCAGGGCTGTTTTTATCGAGCTTTTTTTCATCCTCACTTCAATATGGTTGCATCAGTTCTATTACATATTTGGCTTCCTCTTCATCGTCTTCATGTGCCGAGATCACAGTAGTACTCTGCTACTTCCAGCTATGCAGTGAGGATTATCTATGGTGGTGGAGGTCGTATTTGACTTCGGGTTCTTCGGCACTTTACCTATTCCTCTATGCTGCATTCTACTTCTTTACGAAGCTCGATATCACAAAGCCAGTATCTGAGGTCTTATACTTCGTGTATATGCTGATAGTATCTTACGCATTCTTCGTGCTCACTGGTACAATTGGCTTCTATGCTTGCTTCTGGTTCACAACGCTCATCTACACATCAGTGAAGATTGATTGATCTGATATTGCAGCTCGAGGAAAGTCTAGTTTGTTTCGTTACAACGATGTCTAAATTACCCGATACAGAATCAGAAGTGCAGGACATCCGTGACTTGCTGTTTGGGTTCAGTTTTGAATCCATGTATTCACAAACATAATAGTGCTTTGTTTGTACCTGCCGTTCTGTCAAGAAACTGAAAATTTCAGTCCTTGAAAATGAAAGAAATTATCATTTCATGTATTCGAACTGTGTATGCTATTTTTTTCCCGATGTATTCAAGATTCAGACAACCACTTCTGCTGTTGCTTCTTCAGACAGAGGTGCCTCATGATATGTCTACTCGGATCCTTTGGAAGGCTCTGAACCAAATTTTCTTCGTCAACACCATGTGCCTCCAACCACTTATATCGGTCATACCGTCTAACCCGTTCCCTAAGGTCCCAGGGAAGCATCCGATGATGCATTCACTGTTCGGAGTCACGCCTCTCGATCCTCATTTCTTCTGGCCGAATGGTAAGAGATTGAAGATAGGTCTGTTTACAACATCGAAATCAACAACGATTCCAGAAGACCATTGGATCAGTCAATGAGGTGCTTCAAGAGTTTCACTTAAGTATGTCCTTGGTTAGATAAAGCACGTGATGAAGTCCAAAATTCACCTGCATGTTTCCGACCAGTAGTGAAAAGAGGATGAGTCCAAATAACGCAAGTAGTATCGAAAACAAGGCCTGTTTTGTTGCTAGCACATCCGAACCATTTGAACTTTGAAGAAATCGGCAAACAACAATTTGCAATTATGAACAAAAATAGTGAGAGGGCTATGGATTTTTCTGACCTGCCAAGTTGCAACCTAGGGTTGCATGCAACAGTGATAGCTCATTGACATTATTTGTTCTGTAGATAATAAAAAATAAAATCACAGCATATCTATTCCATGCAAAAAAAACTGCTCACTTATTTCACACTTTAAACGATAGGTTTACACGCAGTAAAGATGATATCAATGAGAGAGAGCTAAAGCATGTATACAAAGAAAGTTAATATGCTCAAAGCACATAATAACTGGGTAAAGCAAGAAGAACAAACAACCCTACACCATTAGACGTATTTATCACCCACAGAGCTCATAAAGAAATATGACTAAACAAGGATACATGAGAATGAGGGGGGGGAGGGGGGGGGAAGAAGATATTGAAATAAAAGGAGAGCTAGATGCATTTGAACAAGGGAAAATTTACAGCCATCAGCAATTGAATACTAGGGGGAAAAAAACTTTTACAACCTGTGGTACTGGAGCAACAAGAAAAATCAACGATGAAATATCGCTGCAAGTATCGTTTGGCTATTTGTGCAGGATCTATCTCAAGTTCACCTCGTCCGAAAACTCGAGATGATGGAGCAATGTAAGCTGTACAAAACTGTAGTGTCGACTATTCATACATTTTAAACTTATCTTTTCCCGTTAAAAGATTGACGATCATTTAAACTGAGATTAAAACGAAAAATAAGTGAGCAGTTTATATACTTTTTAATGAATAAATACGAGTTTAAAACACATAAATAGTTTAAAACCATTTTTAAATTTTTAATAATTAAAGGACTCAACAAAACATCTTAATAGTGAAAACTCAACAAAATAATACCTTATAGTTGAAGATCATTTGTATACTTTTACCTTAATTTTTTTTTACAATAAAATAGAATTTGTAGTATTAAGCTAGTGAAAAAAGGCTCTTACATCACAATATTTAATATACATTCGGGATATTCGCATGTAGAGATCAGCGTTGTCAAAAGGGATTAAGCCAGCCAAGTACCAACCAAGAGGGAATAAGCAATGCCTTGCATTTCCCGAGACTTTGTAAACCACACTATCTTCGACCGGCCGCCATGCCATTATATAAAATATAAACGAACAAATAAACATATGGGGGAAAGAACGAAAAATATGATCTCTTCATAGCATTTATCTTCGTCATTTTATTGCCTCATACTGCAACATTGTCCGAGAAAATAATACACAACCTAAACCAGTTGTATCCAGGGACGGCAAAATTTTGTGTTGGACTCTCCACATAGAATGGCTAGAAATGTAATACATGATATGACCAAAAACATTTTGATGCCAACTTCATTGTTAACTGTTACCGTTGAGATTGCATATGATCATCCGCCTCGAACACGAGATCCCTCTGAATCTGTCACGTGCAAAATGGAAGTGACTAAAGGCAGTAGTAGATCACATATTACAGAACAGTGCTAGTTCGGAATTATAAAACCTGCAGAAAGATGGGTCAACGAAGAAGAAATCATACTTCAAGAAAAGAAACAGCATTCTGATGTCCAACATGTTTCATTAATCTCATCACTAACTCCTGAAAGTACAACCTTGATCCATATTCAACAGCAATGAGATGTCCTATAACGAGACGTCACTTGTTTTCCGAAGAAAACATGAGTCTATAACGAGAGAGGCGGAAGAAAAAGACTGCATAAGCACGCCTTATTCATTTTTTTTCCAAACACAAGCACAGTGATCATAAGGGTGACATTCTGTACCTTCCTATTATGTTCCTCAAGTCAGAAATAAAGGATTAAGAGAGCCAAAAAATCAAACAGGTGTCATAGTGGCCACTTTCTCAGCCTCGACGCTTTAGCGTATCTAAAATTGTGTTTCTAGCTACTTGGCGTAATATTTCTGGATCAGTTTCTTCAATGGGTTTATGAATAATAACTTTCACAGATCCTGAATTTACAACACCCTCCATTCCTGCAGGCATGATTCGGCCTGTGCCAATTAAGGTTATAGGAATGACGGGCGCCCCGGTTTTTGCTGCAACACTGAATGCACCTTTCTGCCAATTACAACCAAGAAAAAACGATGAGCTCTTGAATAGATAGTTGCATTTTAAAATCCTCCTGATTTTCCATAGTGACTTAATCGGCCAAGCTAACAATATAATTCTAGGAAGATCCCACCTTGAAATCACCCAACTTCCCCTCCTTACTCCGCGTGCCTTCCGGGAAGAAAAAGACAGAGGCACCATTCCTTATGAGATCCATACATCTCTTAAGACACTCCTACAAGCAGCAATAGAATTCAAACCCGTACTACAGAAAAAATAAACCAAGCCTGCAAAGCTAAAAGATAATATTACAATAGATTAATCCCAAATTGCCATCTAAAGCAGACAAACTAAATAAATTGAGCTCATATTGCGATCCAAATAATGATAACAGCAAAGGCAAAAAAGGAATACCAACTGGCTTCGGCTGTCCATGCGCTTTAACGGAATTGTACCCATCATAGACATGGCCCACCCAATAATGGGAAAAAGAAATACCCCCGTCTTGCTGATAAACTTGTAGCTTCTTCCAAGAGTTAGAAGCGTGTAGATATCTAAAAAACTCTGATGGTTGGAAACATATACCGCAGGAGCATCATGTGAAGGCAAATTCTCCAATCCTTCATACTCAATTTTGAAAAATGGAGCAACGGTAGCTGAAGCCCAAGCTTGGCAATAAAATGCTGAGCTTTTCTTCTATAGCGATTGAACAATAGCACAAAGGGGTGTGCCACTATCATAAACCCAATCAGTGAAATGGCCGCAATAGCTGTGACAACATAGAAGCATACTCCTCTAACTTTTGAAGATAGTTTAACTTCTGCATTTTAAAATTTGATGAAACATAAAACTACGAGGGGCATGATCTAAAAAACGAAAAGCAAAATAGTTCAATGACTGAGTAGCTTTCCATAAAAACCTGATAAAGAATAGGAATCTTCAGGCATCCCAGCCCCAGTAAGTTCAGATTTCGCCACAACACGTCTGGATAATTTGTTCAGGTTACATAGTTTACTGATGGAATATCTATTTAAACCCTCATTTGGACTAAAACAACACCGAGGTTCGCCATCATGCAGCCTTGAAATATGCAAAATTTATTTTGAGCTGCTGCCAAAATAAAGGAGAAAGCTAATAATGTAACCTCCGTAAAGAAAGAACACACATATACACAAAGAAATACCAAACCCTAACTTAGCATCCACCACCAAAATAACCATTTCTACTGGAGTACAAGAACAATAAATCCCAATAAAAGAATCCATTAGTATATTTTAAAAGATCCCCGAATGTATTAATAATCACTCACTTTGAAGAAATTTTACAGTCACATGTTTACAGCATCAAACATAAAGAACATGGTCTTAGTAAAATTAACTTACGGTTGCATGAATTTCTCAAAGTTGCCCGTTTACACGCAGAGTAGCCAAATAAGCACATTTACGATCAGAAAGCTGCATTAGACATATATTACAACACTGTCATAAAGCAAATCATAAAGGCATATAAAGGAAAAGAAGAACAAGTGAAAAACAATCTCAAAATTCTCTAAAATTATATCATCCACCTGAAACACAGTAGAAATATGTTCTTTTAAAGATACAAAATTGATTAAAACATTCCAAACAGAGAAAGATCAAACAAATCAAGAAAAGCTGAAAAATCGGTGAATAAGCTTGTTTTCCCCCGATTACGAAGCCGAAGAGTACACTCAAAACTTTACTCAATACAATCAGTTTTTCCCTCTTTGTACGGAATCAAACAGGCGGCCAAACAGAAACTTACCGGGAAGATAGGCAGCATAAAGGAACTACTGGGCTTTGGGTAACCTGGAAAATAGGGGGTGGGGGAGAGAGATGAATACACACAAAGAATACAAATACGTATATGGGAAAGTACAGAATTGCGTATCTTACGGAGAGGGAGAGGTGAAAGGGAAGAGAGCTCCATGATGAGTGCGAAAAAGGAACTGAAAAGACCGGAAGATGCGGGTTGATGAGAAATAAATCGTTGAATTTGATAGATAGATAGATAGCTAGCTAATTTCAAGGTCTACTGAAACCTCCAGTTTTCATTATTTTATTCCTTTGCCTCAGTTTTTCTCGGCGGAAAAATGTATTAACAATTGTCTGGACTTGTTAGGGGGGCCGTTCCTTTCTCGGCTCACACCTTGACTATACTTTTTTTAGGGTAAATTTCTCTTATTAGTCACTGAATTATTAGGGTTAATTATGCATTTAGTATCAAAACTATTAGTTTTAATATATTTTAGTATTTAAACCTTCAGTTTTTTCAAAATCACGTTTAAAGTTTAATTTTTTTTCATTTTAGTATTCCGTTCAAAATTTAACATTAAGTTTTAATTTTTTATAAAAATTTAGGTATTAAAACAGACCAAAATTTATAGTTTATTTACTAAATATATTAAGTTTTTAACGACGAGATACTAAAATAAAATAAAAACTAAATATTAGATATAATTTTAAAAAAACTAAAATTTTATGTATTAAAATATAAATATTAGAAAAAAAAAGTACACAAGAAAAAGGACGAGATCATAAAATGCTAGAGTACATACTCCATCAAGCATATGCTAGGTAAATAAAAACCCAGATGGATTTTCGCGGAAAATCTGCCGAGAAAAGAAAACGAATCATATAGTAATAACAATAATAATAATACCAACATAGGTATGATTTAAGTGGTAAATAGCGTGATATCACTTAAGTAAAGTCTTAGGTTTGAATCTTTATGTATTGAAAAAAATTTCATTAGGAGACTCACTCACTCTTGCCAAGTGTGCAACCTTAGAGTAACCAAATAATAATAATAGGGATAAATTACATTATATACTCTCAAACTTTTAAGTATTGATTTTTTATAAAATCAAACTTTTTATTTTACTAATTTTATCGCTAACATTTACTTTTAGGTGTAATTATGCTACTCCCTCGTTAATGGCCTAAGCTAAACCTGTAGAAACATAAACTAAAACTTAACCACTATGTCAACTTAAATTTTTTATATAATCTTATAAATATAATATACATAACATATAACTTGGATTATCTATAATTTATATTCTAAAATTAAAATATTATTTATTATATATTTATATTATAAACAATATTAATATATAGTAAAAAATATTATTTATATTATTATATAAATAATATTAATATATCTATATATGTATATGATTTATAATTAAAAAGTAATTTTTTAAAAAACACCATGAAATCACCAAATTTTTTTGGATCTCTAAAAATTCCAAAACTCCCAAAACCCCTGAATTCTAAATTGTAATCCCCAAATTCACTCGTTTTCATCGTTGATAGCACAACATTGTCGTTGCGTTGAAGTCTCCTCCTCTCATCGTGCATGTCATTCACCATTTGCTCATCGATCAGTCGTCGTTCATGGTTCGATTAAAACATTCCATATTCGACGTTTGGCGATCTATTAGCACACCGTTCATCAATTTTCAACGACAAACATAGTGGGGCAATTCGTGATAAAGGTCCGACAACGAAAGTGATAGGCGTGGCCATTGATCAACAGTGACAATGGGTGAAATTAGGAATTTGATAATTAGGGCTTTGGGTTTAGGGAAGAATTGAGAATTTAAAAAATTTTAAGGATTTTTTGAAAAAAAATATTATTTTTATTATGAATCGTATATATTATAAAACAATACAAAAATAAAAATAAAAATAATAAATAATAAATAATATTAATTCAAACAAATATTTAACATATATTTTAGTTTTGTTGAAATTATAATAACATTTTAAGTTGGCTTGGTGGTTTATCGTTTGCCATTAGCTCTTCAATTTAAATCTCACGAAAAACATTCTTTGTATCAACAACGAAGACATCTTGGGCTGTTGCTGGCATAATTGTACTTAAAAATAAATATTAGTGTTAAAATTAATTAAAATTAAAAATTTAATTAGGTAAACGAATCAATGCTTAAAATTTAGTAACTATAACAAGCCAAATACGAAACCAAAGTTGTCAAAGACGCCATTGTCAAAAGCCTGAGGCGTCCAGCAAAGCAAATATTTAAGATACCCTCAAGCCCATGGTTTTCCCTATTTTCCATATATATATGGACCCTGTTTAACCAAGATACCCTCTTTCATTTCCATGAAAACAGGGAATCTAATTGACGACTTCACATTTATGGATTGAAAGTCCTCAATGTCAACTAAACTACCTTGGACTTGGAGAAGCAAAAGGATATAGTGTAGGGATTCAAAGTCATCAACTTTTTTGTTGGTTTATTCTTTCCAGCATTTAAAGAAGCATGGAAGCCCCGCTTGTTTTGATGGCTAAGAAGAAAAGGGTGGTATCCCGAATCCAGGGGTAGCGGGTAGGCTTAGGTTTGGTGGACAGATATGTGGACGTGGACGTGGACCAACTATCGTTATCTCATCAATTACGACTCATCGTTTAAATCAGAAGATAAAATTATCAATGTTCGATGACCAATTTGTTCTTATTAACTTGGGGGAGTCGAATTGCAGGAAAAACTGATCACACGAGCTTATCCATTCATACGGGTTAGCTGGAAAGTTGAAACCAAATTTGGGCTTGTTTCAAAGAGATGAGCTTTGGGAATTTATAAATTCTGGTAAGGCCAAAGAGCTATATCTCCCTCTCTCTCTAGAAAAATAAACAAATTTGAGGAAAAACTTGGAAGACTCCCTTTCTTCTTCAATGGCCCAGCTGGACCAAAATTTATGTTACAAAGGAAAAACAAAAGGGAAAGCAAAGACAATCAAAATGTCCTCCAATCAAACTCTCTGTCTCTCTCTCTCTCTCTCTCTCTCTGTTTACCGGAAATACCCTTCTGTATTCTCACCCCCAAAGATCCCATCTTCATCTATTCCTCTCAAACTCTCAAAAGAAACAATTTTTTTCACCGACTTATGTGGGCTTCTTCGGGTTTCCTTTGTTTCGGTTAGAGTGTTCACAGTGAAAACAGGGAGACGAGAACCTTCCTCTTGCCTCCTCTATATTTATCATTTCTTCCTTCTCTTCCTCTGTGTTCCCTTGTTTTGGCCTTTTGGTTTCTTTTTTTGATCTGAAACATGAAGAAGACGAAAGGGTTTGGTGTTGCTGCTCCTGTTATGGAGTATTCTCCATATGATTTGTATGAAGACTTGCACAAGGTAATGACTTTTCGTGCATTGTTTAGATTTTGGGTAACTTTCAGTCAGATTTTTATTAGATCCCGGAGGCGTTTATAAGCCTCTGGGTTCTCTTGATCTCTGCTATTTGTCTTCAATCTTTTGATTGATAACAAGAAGATGACTCCTTTGTTTGAATCGTATGTATTGGTCTCGAATTTATGATGATCATGCCTCATACGAACTAGGTTTGGATCTTATGTTTGGCCTTAGTACTTTTCTACCTGAAAATGAATTAAAATAGCCTCTCTTTTAGTCTTTCAATCCAGTAAGCTTCCACAGGTTTGATTGATCACGGTGATTCTGTGCAATGTTCTTCTATACAGAAACGATCAATGGTTAAGAAACTATCATGTCTTCTCACAAACTACAAAACAGGAGCATTACATTGAAGGCTACTTGCCATAACCTATATTCCCAACTAATGTTTAGGTGCTTTGTGTTCCTGCAGGAAACGGAGTCCATGCGAAAGAATTTGCAGACGAAGAAAGAGCGAAGATCGACCCTGTTGGCTGAAGTCGAGTATGATGTTGTTCCACCATGAATTCGTATAATTTGCATAGTTTTAGGATCACAATTATTGATAGGGTTAAACTTTTTTGTTGTTAGGTTCTTGAGACGGAGGCGCAAGTTCTTGATGCAAAACCAATCATCAAACACCCCAGTGATCAAAAGTAAATCGAATGTGAAGGCAAAGAAATCAACCGGGAAGGGTACTTCGATAGGCCGAGCAACGGGCTTTGATTCGAACCTTAAGGGAAAGACTAATAGTGTGAAAGGAACGTGTTTCACTAATCCTTCTCTTATGTTTGACTTAAACCAGATGCAACAGAAAGTGTTTAGTGGAAAGGAGGAACCTACTTTGCGAAGTTCTTCATCAGTTCTCCACTTAAACCAAAAGGAAAGACTTCATAGCAGAAAAGAGGCCACTGCTCGAAGCGTGAAACCGGTTTTCGACTTAAACCAGATTTCGGTAATCTATTGTTGTCATAAAAATTTGCTTCTATATAATCTTTTATCATGAGCTAATATCTCGAAACCCTCCTTCGGTTCAGAGAGAGGAGGAAGAACTACAGGCACAAACTAGTTCAGTTGGAACAGATGATTTTAAGAGGAGTTCAATCAGAGTAGGAAGCGACGAGCAACGCAATGAAGTTAAAATATCAGCCCGCAGGAACACTGGAGACGGGCCAAATAGAACTGGGAAAAGAAAGATCTCATGGCAAGATCAGGTGGCATTGAGGGTTTAAGTGTCTTGTAGTAGAAGTGCCTTACTGAGTTTGAGGGGATTGGAACACTTGTGAGTTTAGCTTGCCTACCTCCCGTTTTTTAATTGCTCTATGTTCTTGCCGCCTTCATTATTCCTGATGTAAAGAAAATACGGTTTGCATCTATTGGAATTATAAAGATAAATGTCGAAATTGCTACACCGGGATTAGATATATTCTCACTGAAGACATAGTTTATTGCATCATGCCTCGTGGATACTGCTCGTCATCCGTCGGAGTAATCGAGAGGCAAGATTTGTACCGTGCTATGATTTGGGGATGTAAATGATTGTTGAAAGGTTCCAAATTTTAAGTTACATTTGCACATAAAACGGGGTAGGCGTGAAGTTCACTTTTGATCAGAAAGTCCAGAGGGTGTGTATGGGTCCCGAAGCAAATGGAAACGGCAGACGTGTGTGGTGATGTTAGTTCAAATGTCACGAAAGATGGGAGCTTGGATGTTAGGAGAAGAGGGAGTTAAGTGGTTGACCAACATCTTTAATATTATTTTAGAGACTGCCAAGATGCCAGAGGAGTGGAGAGAGTCTACGGTGATACCAATCTATAAAATTAAAGGAGATCCCCAACGTTGTGGTAACTACAGAGGTATTAAACTCCTCAGCCATACCATGAAGCTATGGGAAAGGGTGATAGAGGCTAGGTTGAGACAAGTTACTAGGGTTTCGGAAAACCAATTTGGCTTTATGCCAGGCAGGTCTACCACGGAGGCGATTCATCTACTTCGACGGCTTATGGAGAAATATAGGGAAAAGTCTAGAGATCTTCACATGGCGTTCATTGACCTTGAGAAGGCTTATGATAGTGTTCCCCGCGATACGATCTGGAAGACTTTGGAAACGAGACGGATCCCAACTGCTTATATCCGGGCGATTCGTGATATGTATTATAGATCTACTACTTACGTCAGGACTACAGTTGGCGACACCGAGGCATTCCCGGTTGAAATCGGACTCCACCAGGGGTCGGCTCTTAGCCTTACATCTTCGCCTTGATTATGGACGACATCTATTGTGCGACACCAGACGGTGTACCATGGTGTATGCTTTTCGCTGACGACATTGTCTTAGTTGCTGAAACAAAATATGAGTTGAATAGTAGACTGGCTACCTGGAAGACTGCTTTGGAAGAAAAAGGTTTAAGGATCAATATTGAAAAGACAGAGTATTTATGTTCAAACTTCAATGGGAACCAAAACGATGAAGATGTAGAAGTAGCATAGAAGGACACGTTCTCCCCTCAAAGGATTGTTTCAAGTACCTAGGGTCTATGATACATAAAGATGGGGGTGTAGATGATGACGTTACACACCGTATAAAGGCGGATGGCTAAAGTGGAGGCCGCTACTGGAGTTCTGTGTGACAAGAAGGTCCCTCTAAAACTTAAGGGAAAATTTTATAGAATGGCAATAAGACCAGCGCTGTTGTATGGATCAGAATGTTGGGCAACAAGAAGGATCACGTAAGGAGGATTGAGGCCGCAGAAATGAGAATGCTTCGATGGACATGTGGTAGGACTCTGAGGGATATGACGACAAACTCTGCTATTAGGATGTCCTTGGGGGTGGTGTCTGTTTCCGAAAAATTGAGGGAGGGAAGACTACGGTGGTTTGGGCATGTCCTTAGGCGACTACCGTCGGATGCGGTAAGGAGGGTAGAGTCGATTACAGTCGACGGTGCCAGAAGGAAAGGACGACCAAGGCGAAAGTGGGAAGACTGCTTGAGATCTGATTTGAGGGATTTAGCCCTTACCGAAGACATGACCTCTGATAGGAAAATATGGAGGCTAAAGACTAGGGTAGTCGAGTAGTGTGGGTCACATCTATAGGGTGTATCATTTCTGTCTTCTTTTAATGTCTTTGTAGTATTTTCCATGACTTATACTTTTTATACGTTTCTGTTATTGGTATTTATGAAGGATTAGAACTGGGCTTGCTAACGTTGACTTCTGTGTATCATTCTCTTCATGTTTCCTCTTTTAAATTTAGCCGGATCTTATGTTTCTGTCTATATGCAGAGATTCTTTCGCAGGGATATTTATGCAGGGATTAATTTCCCGTTACAGACGCACATATGATTTTAATGACTGCATATGAATACTGTTTTAGCTATGTATTTATGTATTTATTTATACATGCATTGCATTTTATCTAAATTTTTAATTTTCTGACTGCCGGAGGTCTTCCACGGAAGCTACTCTCAACCTGGCGTTGGGGGTAGCCTACTACCCTACCTCCCCCTTACCCCATACATATGGGAATTGGGTTTTGTTGTTGTTGTTGTATTGTTATGCCACAATAGTACCCCTTGGACGCATGGATGCTGCCTTCCATCGACCATTAAAGCTCATTTAAAGCCGCCATAACGCCGTACATGTTTAAAACATGTTTTACCACGAATACAAAAAGCTTTGTTTATTCTCTTCAAATCAATCGGTCAATGCACTAATTAATTTATCTCAATGATTGAAATAATTATTGTTGTTTTTAAAAGTAATGAATTCGAACATCGATAATTGTATTAGAGTGATTGAATGTTCATTGTTAAATAGCTGATAATTATGATGCAGGAAACAAAGAAACTCCTTTTATTTTGGGTTTTAATTCTTATGGGTTAACAGGAGACTTACGTATCGATTCAATAATAAGCATCATCTTTATTTTAAAAGGGTAAATTATAAATTTGGTAATTGAACTTTACTTTTTCTCTTATTTCATTTATTGTATTTTAAAGCTTTTCAATTTTCTCATTGAACTTAATACATTAGGTTTTTTTGCGACTTAGCAGTTAAATAGTTAATGATGTTAAAATAAGTTGTTATATATATATATGCAAAACGACATCATTTTGTTGAAAATTTTGTTTTTTAAAAATGGCGTTTCTAACACCGTTAACTATTTAATGGCAGAGTGACCAAAATAAGAGAGAGTAAAGTTCAGTGACAAAAACCCCAATGTATTAAGTTTAGTGAGGAAATTGAAAATTTTTAAAGTTCAATGAGCAAAATAGGGGGAGAGTAAAGTTCAGTGATAAAATTTGTAATTTATCCTAAAAATATGGTAAATTATCCATTTAGTATCTAAACTATCAATTTTGATCCGTTTTAGTACCTAAATTTTCAATTTTTTCAAAATGATACATAATGTTTAGTTTTCATTTTATTTTAGTAGTCCGCCGTTAAAAACTTAACGCGTTTAGTATCTAAAATATCAATTTTGGTCCATTTTAGTACCTAAACTTTCAACTTTTCAAAACTTAACGTTAAAGTTTGAAAGAGACACTAAAATGAAACAAAAACTAAAGTTTTTAACGACAAAGTACTGAAATGAAGCAAAAACTAAACCTTAGGTATAATTTTTAAGAAATGAAAATTTAGATACTAAAATTCATAGTTTAGGTACTAAATGCGTTAAGTTTTTAACGGTGGGTACTAAAATGAAACAAAAACTAAATATTAGGTGTGATTTTAAAAAATTAAAAATTTAAATACTAAATAGATAAAAACTGATAGTTTAGATATTAAATGCGTAGTTTAGCCAAAATAAGAATATACATTGTCCACCAAATGTGTCCATGAAGCGATCATGTGATCACAATTTAGAGTAATCATGATCCACTAAAATGGACAGTCGAGATCTAATAAGTTGGAGCCGGAGCATTCTTTATTAATTTCTGCTTTTTTTACTCTTGCCAAAATCAAATCTCAAAAGTCGTGGAAAAGGCTCCCTTCATTTCTGGTTTGTTAGTTATTCACTTTCAATCCTGTGCATCGACAGCAGCAACATGCCTACTCGCTGCGAAATTTTATGTGAACTCTTGATCGCGATTATCCTCCCTCCTGTTGGAGTTTGCTTCAGGCACGGTTGTTGCAGCGTAAGTCAACGTTCTACCAAATTATCCTGTCCTCGTTGAGGTTTTGATCTAATGAAATTCTGGGTTTTGATGCTTTTCTTCTCAGGCTGAGTTCTGGATCTGTGTGCTGTTGACTATCCTGGGTTATATTCCTGGGATTATCTATGCTCTCTACGCTATTGTTTTCGTGGATCGCGATGAGTACTTCGACGAGTACAGGCGTCCACTTTATTACTCTGCTTAGTTCTCTTTCAATTATCTCTCTTTTGATGTAAAGTGATGAGAATCAATTATCTCACTTTTGTGTTTGATTTGACTTTGGATTTGTGTATTTCTACTCTTTATTATTGTTCTTGATATTGTGCTGTTTTAATGTATCTTTGATCTTGTTTGGATTTAACGAACGCTTGATTTCAAGTTCATTTTTTGGTGGTTTTGCTATAATTATATATGGAATTCTGCATTAGAAACATGGGACTGTTTTTCCTTGGAGTTGATTCTCATGACTGATATATTAATATATGTGTTTGTCTATATGTAAGTGGATGGATGGATGTGTTGAATTCTTATTGTTGTGTAGTTTTTAAAATAAATTTCTATACATAGAAACTAGCAAACTGAAATTTGTCAATCTGCTTCTTCCGCAGATCGCACCTTGAGCTTTATTTTCCTTGTTATGTGAAATCCTCCAAATTTCACTTCACTACTTCCTGTTTGAATTAGTGTCTAAACTGCATAATTTATCAATCTTTTGGATGCTTTGAGTTTGTGAAGCATGAGCAGAATTGCAGCTAACATTTGAGAAAACTGGGCTCAAGTAGAATTCTTTGTTCCTCACTTCCTCTTGTTCCCACATTTTGCTTTTACTTGTGTGATAAAGTTTAGTTTGTTAATGAGAAAAGTGGGAGTTACTTGGATGAAAGAAGGTTTGAAATGGGGAAGGTGAAGAGGTGAAGCAATAAATAGTGGATCGAACCTCATGCAAATAGGCAATAAGATATTCATTGATTATGGGGAAGGAAAGTCGTTTAACCAATATATTCAGGAAAGTTTTTTGAGTTTGGGTTGGCATTCTCCTTTGGGAAGAAAAAAGTCTGTATATTCAGCAGAGGGAAACATTACCTGGCGCTTCCCAAGACAATCTTTATAACATGGAGAGCAAAGGAGGAACCAGGGAAACAGATGATGAGTCTGGACTCGTCTCTGATTGGACCGAGTTAACCCACGAGTGCCTCCTCGGCATCCTTTCCCGACTCACTTTCGAGCACTGATGGACCGGTCCTATGTTTGTCAGCAAGCCTTGGCTCAATGCCTGCAAGGATGCCTCTCTGAACTACGACTTTGATTCCTCCTCTGAGTCGGTCCCCTGGTGGACCCTCCGAGTTCGAGAGAAGAATCAATGCCATGCTTTGATCGGTTATCACCTGGAGTAACGGCAATCTAACCGAGATCCTTACCCGTCACTGCTCTGATCTCTCTCTCACGTTCACCGCTCAAATGTATCTCTCCTGCAGCACCGTTTCAAAAACTTACATTTTTACTCAAATTTCCATCATTGATTTTCATTGTTTTCCAGGTGTCTAAGTTTCCTAGTTCTTTCCATAAAAAGCTTTCCTCGCGCAACTGATGCGTCGATGGCTCAAATAGCTTATCATTTTCAGAATCTTAAACAACTCGACATCAGTTGCTGCTATGAAATCTTGCACAAGTCTCTACCGTTAATCGGTCGGGGACTCGGGATGTCCCGATTTGAAGATCATAGAACGGAACCTGATGAATTCGCTAGACCCGACTGACTATGTAAATGCTTGTCCACAAGATGCAGATATGGAGGCAGCTGTTATTGGGAAATTTATACCTCATTTGGAACATTCTGAAATTAGATTCTCGCAATTATCAGCTGGAGGACTTGGTTCGATTTGTGAAGGGTGAAGAACCATAGCTTTTACATGCCCATATCAGTTTTTCACAGAGATATGGGCGCTGGAGGTTGTATGATGAGAGGCTTTCAAACTGATGTCTTTCAAATGTAGAAGGAAAAAGGAACAAATTTCTATTGCTTGGCTTTACTATATGTGTATTAAGATGCTATGAATCATCTATGTCTGCTAGTATGATGGATTGGCTTTCCTTTTGCTCAGTTTGTATTAATGTAGCACTTATTTTCCCTACTACTAATTTCCCGTTTCCCCATTGTTTGATCTCTGAAACGGTGAAAGAACGTGGCAAATGAGCCTGTTTTCAATTGTAGCCGTTTTGCACGTTCTTCTCATGGCTTGAGCTTGCCGATATACCATCCACAAAATGTTGAAGTTAAAATGTTAATATAGGAAATGCTTTTAGCTACATGAGATTGAGATGCAGTGCTTCAAACTAGAAATAGAGAATTCAGGTGGTAAGATTTGAATAAACATTATACAAACAAAAAACTTCAGTTAAAGAAGCCGAAGAAGAAGATTTATAGGTCGTACAGATTGATGGGGAGAACAAACAACTAATAACGAGCCTTTATTTTGTCAGGTGACATAAAGCCTTCGTATAGATGTTTCTCGAAAAGTTTCATATGAGAGGTCTCTAGGCATGGTACCACTAATAATCTCCCATCATCAGTTGCACTTGGTAATAGGTATATTTTCCCTTCATGGACAACGTTTGCTGGACCCATGTGTATTGGACGACCCCATCCAAAATCCGCATCATATATACCTAGTCGTACCCAGTTGATGACACACACGTTCAGGCACCTGAAAGTTTGTTGTCCGTTAGTCAAGAGCTGATCTTAGATATTCATTGTCCATCCTTCGCAATGCTCCATGAACTCGCTCTAGTGTATTTATAAATGGATCTGATTGGAGATTTCCGGATGTAGCAATTAATGAGGTCATGAATATTGCATTGCCCAGGTAGCTTAATGGGAGAGGAGGATGTAGTCTGTGGCGTACATTACTTGGCATGTATAACTTGGTTGGTTGATCATCTAAGAGACCTCGAGCTTTACTTGCACAACGCCATATGTAAGCCGCTAGAACAGTGTTGATGCTGTACTTGGTTTTGTTCTCATATTCGAGTGTCTTGGCTTTTAGGATATTGAGTTGATTTTTTGTGATCTTAAAAACAGATACAGAGGAGGGTCTGGGATTAGGGCCAAGTGATGGCACAGAGGTGATCAAGGAAGGAGGTGGGTCATATTCAACATGATGAAAACTAGGGGTTGGTGGCACTCTAGCTCGGAGAAGGGTTCGGTCAATGAGTGGTGCCATACTAATTCGGGACAAGCCTCTTGTCATCTCAGACCAACTATTGATGAAATGAACGATTGCCATACCGTCTGTCAAAGTGTGGTGAGCTCCAATTCCAAGAGAGACTCCGCCGCATTTGAAAGTAGTTATCTAGCAACATATGCACACATTAAACCTCTTATGCTTCTTCTAGATCTCCTACTCCAAGAGTTGATTATATATCATAAAACAATAGTTTTCCTGTTTATCATTCTTGTTCAGTGAACACTAACCTTGGCCACGATTAGCGGGTAAGACCCGGTATCTCCGGAGTAATCAACTATGGGAACCAGTTTCTGCAGCTTTGGGCTGGGAATAAGACTGCCAAGATCATCTACTGCGGATATAGTTTCAGCTTCTATCCACAGAACTCCCTCTGCGTTGCATATTATCTCGAGTCTGCCATTTCCATCACATCCCAACCTCCCAGCCATAGGATAGAACGGCACAAGAGTCCTGCTTAAAGCCTCCTTAAGCACTTGTGGTTCAAAGAAATCAGAGGAACCGTTTGGTCTGTAGAAGTAGACTGCAGCGATGTGATATACTTCCATCACCATGTCCAAATTTGAAATCCAATGTGTTTCTTTAGGAGTAGGTTGAGTAGGCCGTATCATGCTGGACCCCTTTACAGTGACCTCCATCTTTTCGACGACTGCAGTGATGTTCGAGGTATCAAAATCTGATCAGATGTCTAGGAGGGAGGCAAGACAATTCCGATCCTGAATGCCTATGGTATTATCTCTTCGAATCAATTCCTGGAGATAATTTCAAGGGTTCTATTATTGATGAAAAATGTATATCAAACTTGAAGGGGAAGGAAGATAATGGCCATACCTTGTAATCTGATAAGCAAAGGTGAGAAGATCTTCTTTGTTGGGAGTCAGCGGAGGGGAGGAAGTTGTGTTAATACTTCTCTCTTCATTTGAATATATAGAAAGATGTGTGCTCTATTTTCTATTAAATTCATAGATCCCAAAAGTTATCTTGTTGATCAAAATAGGTACCTAAAGTATTTTTTGATCAAAATAGATGCCTGAAAGTATTCACCATTTTCGTCTATATACCTAAAGTATTCTTTAATTAATGTCACATGTCGACTTTTTTATAACTTAGATGAAAAAAATTGAATACTTTAGACATTTATTTTGACCAAAAAGATAACTTAAAGTATTTATTTTGACAAAAAAATACTTTAGGTACTTAAATAGAAAAAAATATACTTTAAGTACTTATTTGTGATATAAGCCAAAAAAAAATTATTTATAAAGATGCCAGCTCATATTTTGCTTTCTTTATTGTGCATACTTTGAGATTGAGATCACATGACAATGTGCATTTTGCCGTGGTTCTTTCAGTCGTTGTGGGTAGTTTACTGGTTATATTTAGAAGTGACAAATCTTTTAGCAAAAAACAACACGAGGCACAGCCTTGAAGTATTGACCAACCTTTTTTACAAAACAAAGAATTGATTTCATTTGTCTAGTTATTAAAAATTAAAGCAGAGTCTTGTTGTATATATATATATATATATATATATATATATATATATATATATATATATATATATGTATTTTTGGGGTGTATTTGTAAACTACGCATTTATCATTTAAAATTTAAATTATCAGTTTTAGTTTTTTTAGGTATAACTGTAAACTACGTATTTATCATTTAATACTTAATTATCAGTTTTAGTCTATTTTTGTACCTATACTTTCAATATATTCAAATCATACCAAACGTTTAATTTTTATTTCATTTTAGTACTCCGCCGTTAAAAACTTAACTTGTTTAATACCTAAATTAATAATTTTGGTCCGTTTTAGTATCTAAACTTTCATATTTTTTTTCAAAACTTGACGTTAAATTTTGAACGGGATATAAAAATGAAACAAAAACTAAACTTTAGGTATGATTTTGAAAAAAATTAAAAGTTTAAGTACTAAAATGGATTAAAACTGATAGTTTAGATACTAAATTCGTAATTTACCCTATTTTTTATTGTGTATCTCTGGAAACTAAACTTTATCGTGGTAAGGTTTAGCTTCGACTTTGTCGTTAAAATGTTCTTTACTGATTCGGTGATTAATGGATATGATAATGAATATTTAC